GCTCAGATCATGATCTCAGGGTCCTGGGATCGAGTCCCGCATCGGGATCCCTGCTCCTTGGGAGCCTGCTTCTCCCTCTGCCTCTCTCTCTCTCTGTCTCTCATGAATAAATAAATAAAATCTTAAAAAAAAAAAATGTAAAGAAAAAAGCAGTCTAGGGGCGCCTGGGTGGCTCAGTCGTTAAGCGCCTGCCTTCGGCTCAGGTCATGATCCCGGGGTCCTGGGATCGAACCCCGCATCGGGCTCCCTGCTCTGCCAGAAGCCTGCTTCTCCCTCTCCCACTCCCCCTGCTTGTGCTCTGTCTCTCGCTGTGTCTCTCTCTGTCAAATAAATATAAAATCTTTAAAAAAAAGAAAAAACCAGTCTAAAAACCATCAGAACAAATTATATACGATGACCTTTAATGCTGTTTCATTTTGTTGTCTTATAAGCAAGTATGTCCGCGGGGCCTTGGTCTGACATGATAAGGAGTGCTCAAAGCAAAGTGTGGAAACACTGCTTCAGCCCTTCTGCTCTGCAGACAACCTGGTCCCTTCTCACCTCAGGGCATCTGCACTGGCCATTCCCTCTGCCTGGAAATCTCCCACTTGTATCTTCACAAGATTGGTTTCTGCTTCTTACCTAGGTCCCAGCTGAAACATTCCTTCCCGAGAAACGCTTTTCTGGAGTGCTCTACTGACGCTGTCTGTCATCTGCTTTTGCGTTGTTTGCAAACTAAGAACAGCTTTTACGTTTTTAAATGTTGGGCGGGGGTGGACTCAAAGGAAAAATACTACTCATGACATGTGAAAATCACATGAAATTCAAGTTTCAGTATCCATAAATAAAGTTTTATTGAAACACCTCCATGCTCACTTATTTACATATCACCTATGGCTCCCTTTGCACCACAACAGTAGAACTGGGTAGTTGCAACAGTTCTGCAAAGCCTGAAATATTTTTAATCTGGCCCTTTACAGAAAACGCTTATCAACCCCTGCTCTACTCCGATCACTGCCATACAGCCCTGATTTTATTCCTTTCAAATCTAAGATCCTAGTTTCTTTGCTTTCCTGTTACCCCCAGCCAGAACGCAAATTCCACTGTATCCCCTGTGCAAAGCAATAAATACTCGAGTGAAAGAATGGTAGAGGTGAAGGGCAAGCAACAGATTTAAGAACCACTGGAGGTTTTATCAGCCTCCACAGCCTATAATGAGGGGCCCAGGAAGCTTGCTGAAGTGCCAGGAGCCACTTCCTCCACTAATATTTCATGACCTTGCTCACCAGAAGAATCTTCATCCACGTTCTCGTACTGCAGAAGTCGGTCTAGGAGGAAACTAAAGGAAGAGGCGGGGAGAACAAGAGTGTTTATTCCCATCTCAGCAACGTTCTCCTGGACCCTGTCCCCTCTAGCTGGTCCAAGGGGTCCTCGCAACAGCCCCAAGCCAGGCGCCATGCATCTGTGGCCCAATTCCAAGGATGGGGTCCGAATGTAGATCCACAGGAGCCACACCACCCGCAGACATTCCCCCTTCCCCCCACCGTGTCCCACCTCTTATCCCGGGACACCTTCAGCAACTTCCTCTGCGCCTTCCTCAGCTCCTCCTGGAAGCACTCGTGTTCCTGTATCACAAGCAAGGTGGACGCTGAGCCAACGGTCATCCGTAAAGGGGCCAGGAACCCGGCGACAGTTGACTCCGTTCCCTTTACACGTGGGTAAACTGAGGTCCTACCAGCGCCAGGCCTCAACCCCCACAACCTCTCACCCCTGCACTCACGTAGATGAGGAACTTGAGCTTCCGCTTCAGGTTCCGGTATTTCTTCTTGTAGTCCACTTCGCCGTCCGCCGGCCCGTTCATGACCTGCCCCAGGAGCAATGCCCCGCAGTTGTCGGCCGTCCCGCTACCCAGAGCCTGCGCACAGCCCCGCCTCTCACGCCTCTGCTTCCGGAGACTCCGTAAGGCTGTGTCCGCCGGGACTACAACTCCCAGCGTACCCCGCGCCCAAGGCTCTTAACCACAAGGGCTGCCCTCTTAGGAACACCGGGAAAAGAACGTAGCTTCCAGGGGCTACGCTGAAGATGGCGTCGCAGCGACGCGATGATGTCATAAAGATGGCGGACGCCGGAGATACCTTTGCGGATTCTGGATGTGCTTAGCAATCGCAAGCCACAAGACTTTCCCCCAGGGATTCCTAGTCTTCAGGCGAGGATATCCTTTTTCATCTGTTTTTCGAAATCACTGCGGCCTAGCTAGTGCCCGTGACCACGGACGGAGGCAGTGTCGCGGGTTGATTACGTTATTACACCCGAAGGCTGCCGGCGTCGAGTCGGTTTCTAACGAGAATTTTTAAAAAACGATTGACCCTAAGAAAAGGGAGGAGCCGCGAACCCCTCCAACTACCTGAGGCAAGTAAGTTTTGTCCGGCAAAGTTCTCGGTCCAAGCGACCCGCGACCAACCCCCAACGGTCCCTCTCACGGCGCCGCGACCCTGCGAGTGCGCAAGCTCCTGTCAAACGCGGTGACGGAGGCCGAAGAGAAAAAAAGGCGGGAGCCACCAATCCCAGGTGGAGCAAAATGGCGCGGGAGAACGAGATGCAGGAGTTCATCCGTAGCTTCTTCCGAGGCCGCCCGGACCTCAGGTGCACTAGAGGCTGGAGTTGGGGTTAGAAAGGGCAGGGGCGGGACGTGGACTCTGTCTTGACACATGTCTCCGCAGCACGCTCACGCACTCCATCGTGCGGCGGAGGTTCTTGGCTCACGCGGGCCGCGACCACCTGGAACCCGACGAGAAGCAGGCGCTGAAGCGACTGGTGGAGAAGGAGCTGCTGAAGGTGCAGGTGTGGGCGCGAGGCGGGGTTTGTTGCTGAGGAGGAGGGGGCTGGGAGGGGGTAGGGAACGCAAACTTGGTACACGTTTTGCCCTCTCGCGCACACACAGGTGGATGAAGCAGGTGCCAGGGAAGAGAGGCTAGATCTTGCCAAGAAGGCAAAGGGGCCTCCCACTCCCAGCAGTGGCCCCGTGAGGAAAAGGTTCCGTTTCAATTCGGAGTCAGGTTAGTGCCTTCTGCATAGTTGGTGCATTCAAAAAGTATTTACTGTGCGTGCATGATCTCCCAAGGCATTAGACGAGGGCAGGAGGCCAGTGAGGCAGGAACCAGGCAGGGGGTGGACTGACTGACAGCTGTGTTTCCTGTTGCCCTTCCCTCCATCTGTCAGAGGCAACCAACCCCAAGTGGAGGGAAGAAGGGCCAGGAGGAACCCATCCCGACCTTCTTTTCTCTCCACATTCCAGAGCCCAGCTCTGCAGCCTCCAGTCCAGACTGCTTTGGCCCCCAAGCAAAGAATGGGATGGCGGCGGTAGAAGTCAGTCCAGCTGAGGGGGAGAGTCCAAAGCAAGCCTCAGAGAAAGCAGTTGAGGAGAGCAGTGATGAGGAAGAACAGCAGAGGGGCCTGACTGCAAAGACTGGATTAGAGAAGCTGGCGGCCAAGGAGAGCAGTGAGGAAGAGGAAGAGTGCTCGGCCAGAACAAGTGAGGTCTCAAAGGAAGAGAGCAGTGAGGAAGATGAGGAAGAGGAGGAGGAGTCTAAAGGCAGGATTAGGAAGGAACCTGTGACAAGGAATAAGCAGGCACCAGGCAAAACCTCAGCCAGTAAGAAGCAGGCTAGGGAGGAGAGTGAGGACAGTGAAGAGGAACCTATCCAGAGGACAAGAAAGAAGGCAGTGGGAAAGAAAGGAGCTAAAAGCCACCAGGAAAGTGAAAAGGACAGTGAGGAGGACACCCTAGCCAAAAAGAAAGACAACAGAGAGGAAGAGGAGGAGAATTGGAAAGCTGGAGCCCGGGGCAATGGAGGGAAAAAGTCAGCTTGGGAGGAGAGGAGCTGTAAGCAGAAAAGCAGGGCAGCAAGACTGCTGGGAGAGTCAGGGGACAGAGAGGAAGAAAAGGAAAAAGCAGGCAGTGGGGATAAGAGCGGGGGAGACGAAGAGCCCCTGGTGCAGAGGAAGAGAAAGGACAGGACCCCATGGAAGGGTGAGAAAAGGCAGAGTGGAAGCAGCGAGGATGGGGAAGACAGCTGGAGAAAGGTGAAACCAACTACTGAAGGCACTGGAAAGACAGCCAAAGTGGGCAGTATCAGTGGTGAGGCGAGCGACTCAGAGAGGGAGGTGAGTGACCGTGAGGCAGGGGGTAGCCCTAAGACGGAGAAGGAGAACCACTCTTTCCAGAAGAGCTCCAGGAAAGGCAGGACGCGAAGCTCCTCCTCCTCGTCCACAGATGGCAGTCCGGAACCTAAAGGCAGGAAGGTGATGAGGGGGGACAATGGGGTGGGAGGCCACCTTTAAGGAAGAGGGAGACCCTGACTCAAGTGCAGAAGGTTTGGCCTTCAGCTGCTTTCTTTGCCAGGCTGGCTCTGGTCGCCGCGGTGAGGACCACCCAGCTGTCATGAGGCTAAAGCGTTACATTCGGGCCTGTGGTGCCCATCGCAACTACAAGAAGCTGCTGGGCCCCTGCCGCTCACACAAGGAGCGCCTCAGTGTCCTCCGGGCAGAGCTGGAAGCCCTGGGCATGAAGGGTGAGGCTGGATGTGCCCTGGGGGCCCCAGGAGAGGGCCTGGGCGGCTGGGGAAGAGAGGATCACCAGCCTCTTCTGCCCCAGGTAACCCTTCCTTAGAGAAGTGCCGGGCCCTGAAGGAGCAGCGGGAGGAGGCGGCCGAGGTGGCCTCCTTGGACCTTACCAACATCATCAGTGGTTCAGGTGAGGGGTTTCCTCCCACTCTCTGAGACGGGGCTTAGATTTTCTCAGATAACTGATCTGCTTTTTCTGCCCCTCTATCCAGGCCGGCCACGCAGACGCACAGCTTGGAACCCTTCAGGAGAAGCAGATGCCCCAGGGGAGCTATACCGCCGGACTTTGGGCTCAGAGGATGAGCAGCCCCGTGCCCCACCCCCAGACTGGTCACATATGCGCGGCATCATCAGCAGTGATGGAGAGAGTAACTGAGCTCCTCCCCTTTCCCAGGAGGCTTTCCACTTGGAGAAAGCAGATCAGCACCCACAGCCCCCATCCCAGTCGGTGCCTGCAGAGCTTCAGAAGCAGCTTTCTTCAGAGAAGACTTTGCACCCCCAGGGACACAAGTTGTTGGGATCCTATTTCTCATGTTCTCAGTTTAAGGTGTTTACAGGGGTCTATTGTTTAAGACTCAATAAAGGACTTGTTTGAATCACCTCATCAAAACTGGTCCCCACTTGGGGCACCTGGCTGGCTCAGATGGAGGAGTACGCGACTCTTGATCTTGGGGTCGCTGAGTTTGGGGCGAAGAGATTACTTAAATAAAACTTAAGAAAACGAAAACCGGCCCCACCCTCACTCCGTACTTTGAGCCAGGAAGGTGAGGAGTGTCCACTGTCCCCACCCAGTCTCGTTCCCTTTTATTTCCCCCAGGTTCTCCAAATGAAGTCCCAGCTCCAGACCCTACCATCCAGTCTGCCACTGGTCTCTATCAGAAGAGTGGGGCTCCTACCCTGCTTCCTCCAGCCCGACCAGCAGGGCCCTCACCATCCTGCTTTTAAGCTGTGTTACATGCCTAGCTGGGAGGAGGGTCTGAATAACTGGCTTTAAGAAAAATGTGAGAAACAATGAATTGACTTGGGGACAGCTGGTGTTTACGTCTTCCTTCTCCCCTTCTGGAAACAGCCACTTAGTCCCTGGGCCAATTCTTTTCGCCTTGAAGGGGTGGGTATGGGGCATAGACCTGACCAATCCGAGTACCTCAGGCCTCTGGCTACAGACTGAGCCAATGACGTCACTTTAGGACTTTGCTGGCATACTCGCTGTTGAGATTGCTGCTAAGATGTAGGCTTGGAGCTGCCAGGAGCCTGTGTGTGAAGTGAACCTTCTGAAAATCTTTGAAGCCCAAAGCAAAGGGAGTAGAGGCCAAAAGACTGATGAATTCCTTTAAAGCTCTGGATCTAGCCATGCCCAAAGTCATTAAAATCACTGAAATTTTTAGTTAACACAGCCCAATAAAATCCCTTTTTAAATACAAGTCACACGATCACCTCCGGCCAAACAGTCCTTAATACACACCTTGGACAGAAAGGGTGAGTCCTGGGGTCTGTTAGAATAACCAACAGTTTATTAAAAGCTTGCTGTGGGGCTCTGTGCCAACCCCATAGCTGGGAGGGGCTCCCATGACTGCCCCCAGGCCTGGGAGCAGCCCCTTCGAAGGTCCTTCCCTTGTTCCCCTGCCCCAGCTCTGATCTCAATTAAAAAAAAAAAAAAAAAAAAAAGATAAAGGACAAGACGGCACAGGACGTCAGACAGCAAAGGTGGGGGGGGGGGGATATGGAGAGACCAGGCAACCTGACCCCAAGACCCCACCCTGATCCTTTTTTTTTAGGAAGGCCTTTTCCTTCTGTTCTCCCCACCCCAGACCTGCTCTGCCACACCCCAGGTCTGGGGGGCCTGGCATCCCCAGTCCACAGCCCCATTACACGGGGTAGTATAGTTCTCTGAATATAATATATCTAGACCCACCCTTCCCCTCCCCCAGGGGACCAGATGAATATTTGACACGCACATCTCCCTCCTTTCCCGAGGCTGTGATGGAGAGAGACCCTGGCACCATGGTGGGGAGGCAGGGGCTCCTGGTCAGCCTTGAGGCACCGATGCCCAAGCTGGCCCTGGGCCACTGGCCAGCCCAAGAAGCTCATGAGATGAGGAGGTCTGAGGGGAGCTGGAGCCAACATCCTGTCCCCCACCCTTGGGTGGGCCTCAAGCTTACAGCCCTCCAGGATCAGGCTCCACCCACCCCTGCCCCTGTCCCATTCATCTGCTCATCCACCCCTGCACTTCAGGAATAGAAGTGGGAGGAGCCATTGAGGATGTGGGAAGCGACACTGGTGCTACGGCTCAGAGGCCCAGGCACTGCAGCGGCAGGGGGGCCCACGTTGTCACTGCCACTGCCCCCCGAGGCTGCCCGCCGCAGGGGCTGAGGGCTGTTTCTTAGCAGCAACAGGGCTCCACCACGGGGTGTCCCACTCTGTGTGGGGGGCCCCAGCCAGTTTGGGGGACCTGGAGGAGCCAGCAGAGAGGGCTGACGCCAGGCTGGGGGGGGCATGCCCGGTGGAGGAGGACCATGGCTCCAATGTGCCCCCGATCGGGGAACAGGACGCGAGGGCCAGGCAGGGGCAGGGGGTGGAGCAGGATAGCCCTGGGCAGCAGCCTCGGCTGGGATGCCCCCCAGAGCCATACTGGAGAAGCCCAGCCTCATGCTCTCAGCATCGAAAGCCTCGATCTCACGGGCCTGCCGCTCGAGCAAACTCCGGATTCGCTCAGAGCGCCCTGTCTGCAAGGCCAGCAGCTCCTCTTCCACCTGGGACACCCAGAAGAGAGGTTAGCAAGTCCAGAGGCAGGAAATGGGGAGCCTGCCCTCCCCAGTGCATCCTGGTGTCAGAGTCCCCTTACCCGCTGCTCCAGCAGTGCCCGCCTCAGAGCCACCCTCTGCTCCAGCTCCCGCAGCTCCCGCTCATGCTGACTCTCTGTGCGGATCTTGATCTTGCTCTGGTAGGCATTGAGCAGCTCCAGCTCCTGTTGAAGCTGCTGCCGAAGGGCCTGGAATTCTGCCTCCTGGGTCTCATCAAGCCGCAGCTGGCAAACAGGAAGAACTCATTTTAGGGGCCTCCTCCCCTACCCCCACAATCCTCCCCTGCCCCAGGTAGGCCTGGGCCCTAAGGTTTCAAGCAGCAGCCAGTCTCAACATCTATCAGAATGAAAGGTCGTCATACCCTGTGACACAGCAATTACACTTCCAGGAATTTATCCCCCAGGTATACTTGCACATGTGCTCGGAGGTGTTCACCGAAGCGTTGTAATAGCAAAATACTGGAAACAACCTAAATGTCCACCAATAAGGGATGGGTTAAAGAAATTATGGTACATCCATACCATGGAAAATTCTATGCTGTTTCAAAAATGAGACAGGTGTACTGACATGGAAAGATGTCCAAGAAATATTAGGTGGAAAAAGAAGAGAACAGTATGTACAATCCGATCCCATTTCTGTTTAAAATTGTATGTAATTTTCCAAATATGCATAGGGAAAAAACCTAAAATACAATTATTAACAGTTACCTCTGAGAGGTGGGATTGGATGAGAGAATGGCAATGAATAGGGGCACTTTGATGTTTTACACTATATGTAGTTTTTAACTGGCCCATTCCAGTGTTGTGTGATCTCTGTTAGAGAACAGCAATCTTCAAAATCCTCCAGAAGTCTGAGTAAATCGGCCCAAGGGCCACAATCATTTTAATTTGCTCCCTGTTAACACATTAAACTAACTCAGGCCCAGGAAAAAATTATAGCCACTCTTTCCTTGGTGGTTCTTGGTAGTCAGGCTGGCTTTGTCAAGACCTTAAGAAAATACTTGAGAGAGACAATAAAACCATGGCAGAGAATACTAACAGTGGGAAAGTATCCAAGTTTCCCCCAAGAACAAAAGCCCCGTCTTTGTCCACACTCCCCCATTCCCACTCCCCATAACTAAGCCGGGTGTACAGAGGCCAACCTCCACCATGCTCCCTCCCTGGACCCCAGGCCTCACCGCCTGTGAGCTGAGCATCTCGGAGATGGACTGGTCGTACTGCTCGGCTAGGATTGCCAGCTTGCGGGTCTGTTCTTCTTTGAGCCGCTTAAGGAGGCTCTTGTGCTGAGCTTTGGGTGTGGTCTCCAGCAAGTGTGCCCGCAGGGCCTTGTACTGCCGAGTCTGGATCTTACACGTCTCCTGGAACTGCTTCTTGATCTGCAGCTCCTTAGACTATGCAGTGGATGGACCAAGGGGAGATGGGGGCAAGGGAGAGGAGGAGGAAGAAGAGGAGGAGGAGAAACAACCAGGGGAGAGGGGGAGGAGAGAGGGAGAGAGAGAGAGAGAGAGAGAGGAGACAGAAGCAGAGACAGGGAGAGGGAGAGAAACAGAAAACATGTTAGACAGAGGGGGCGGGGGGAGCTGTATACAGACAGACACGGAGAGATGGGATTGTGTTGAGAGAGATCAGGAAGGTTCTCAATGGGCAAGAGATACAAAGTAAACAAGACAGGTTCCAAGAGCATGTTCAGAGTTGGGTAGAAAACTCACAAGAAACAGCAGGAGAGTTCATGGACAGGGAACTGAAAATCTTTAGGGTACTGAGTGCACACAAGAAGCTCTGACCATGCAAAGAGGGAGAAAATACAACCCAGAGACAGAAGCCAAGTGAGCAAAGAGTGAGAGAACCAAGTCACACAACACACCCATGGAAGAGAGCAACACAGCTAAGGAAAGACAGAAGGAGTCCCAGGTTCAGCACCTCAGGGTGGGAGGGAAAGGAGGAGGATAATCTCCGAGCTGCGAAATGGATAAGGAGTAGCCCCATCTTGGGCCACACCAGGGGAAGGGGCAAGGAGGTGTCCAGAAAGGGCCTGACAAGTTCAATGGGCCAGCAGCTGCTACCCTGACCAGATCTCCACATTCCAGCCCGGCCCCTTATGTACTCAGCTCCCACTCCAAGCCCACAACCAATCCCATTTCCATGCCCTGCCCCCACTCTGCCTGTCACCCCCACCCCCCCAAAACTCACCACCCCCTACTGTAGAGGGTTTGTAGTCCCATCCCCAAGCCCTCTAGGGTAAAGCCTAATGCCAGGAGAGAAATTCAGCTCCCAGATAGAAGGGAACCACATAGGGAATGGGTTGGGAGAAAAGGCAGGGGATGAGGACAAAAGGACCTGGAACCTAAGGACTCTCTGGAAAGAATCCACCAACAGGGGAACTATGGGACCAAGAAGTTCTGTGGAAGCTCAATAGGGGCTCAGACCTCTGAGCTAGTGGTGGTCATGGTGCAACGAAGCTATGAAGGCAGAGAGGATGAGGCTGAGGAGTGAAAGGAGTTAAGATAACGTAGATGGGGGTGAAGAGGTCATGGAACTGGGGGCCAAGGGTCCAGATTGGGGGCATACCCGGGATGCTAGGCGGCAGGACAAAGCAGACAGAGGCAGCCTGGGCCAAAGGTACAGTTCCGCTCAGATATTTTATTTGTGTTTGTCTTTTTCTTTTTTTTGGTGGGGGAAAGGGGACAGGTTGGAAGGGAGACAGAAAAACAAAATCAAAGAGAGAAAAAAAAAAACATGACTTCCCACCCACCGCCACCCCTGGCCCCAGGCCTGAGTTGATGAGGGTGAGGATGAGCA